GTCCTGAGCTGAACTCTGCCCTTGGTCCCCAGCTCCATGGCTGGCCCACTGACCCTCTGGTTCAGGCTAGCCTGGGACTGGAGAGGAGATTGTTACAGCCACCTTAGAGAGACCTCAGAGATCCGGCCTCGGGCCAGATGGGTGAAATGAGGCAGAGAGAGACTCCGGGCTGATCCCAGCCTTGCGGGGCATGTGATGGGGCACTCGAGGCATGGAGGGGACCAAGCCGACAGCAAGGCAAACCCCTTGACCTCTCACATCCCTTTGTACCAGCCGCGGGGCCCGCAGGCTGGACCACCCTGCTTGAGGGGGGAGCTGGGACCAGTGTTTATGCAACTGTGGGGAGGCCACAGCCTGACTGGCACTGCTGCCTGCTCAGCACCAGCACTGACTCAGCAGAGTCCCCCAGCACGCACACACTCAGACAAGCGCGCACACACACGCGGAGGGAACACACATGTGCGTGTGCAGACAAACAGGCACACGCATGCACAGGTGCACACGCACAGGTACTCACACTCACAGGCACACTTGTGGACATATGCACACACAGACACAGAGACACAAAGAAACACGCACAGGCCCCACCCGCCAAGGCTGGTGGAAGGAGCCAGTGAGGCGGGAGGGGCCCTCACCCCTGCAGCCGAGTGTCACCCTCTAGGCCGCCCACCCCATCCACTCTGACACTCACACCCACAGCCAGTGACCCGAGCCCCCAAATGACAGCTCACCCGTAGTCAGCACAGCCACACGCAACAGGTAAATAAATGGCCCCAGAGCGGCAACAAGGCCACGGCTGGGACCGAGACACATTTTAAGAGGAGTTGAGCCCGCACAAGTGGGACCCAAGAGCCCCGGCAGAGCTCATCAGACACCACAGTCCCAGCGCTGCCCCCACCGGCCACCCCCAGCCCGTTCACTCCCAGTCCACACAGGAGGCTGGTAAGAAGGGCTGCAGAGGCTCTCAGGGGCATGTGTGGGAGGCTCCCTTCCACTGCCCAGCCAAGCCACGTGGGATAGTGGCTCCCAGGAACTAGGGGGCCTGCAAGAAGGAGGGTATGTTTTGGGGAGAGGTGGGGGCACTGCAGGACCATCCTGGAAACCGCAGGGGTGGGCATTCTCAAGAGAGCAGGACATGTATCCCCCAGGACTCGGGACATATGTGAACTTGGAGGCAGGGCCCTTCTTGCCTGGACTAAGAACTTCAGGACTTCAACCCAGGGTGGGCATCCTCAGGGAGAAAAGGCCGGGACCATTCAGTCCCCTGTGGCCCCCGGAGACTTTTGAAGGAGAGCTCGGCAGTTTCTGGGCATGGTGTCCAGATGCAAGGTGGCTGGGACAGGCAAGAGTTGGGGGCTGCCCAGAAGGGTATCAGCTGTGTCACGTGGCTCCCCCATCCTGATCATGACCAAAGGGCAGTCCTGCTCTCTCTGCAGGGGTCTTCAGCCAGTTACTGGCCAGCGGACTAGCCAGAGCCCAGCAAGGTCACACATGCACCTGGAGAAACCCCGCCAGCGGAGGCCACCACACTGAGGCCACAAGTGCCTCTGTTCCCCGCCCCACCGGCCAGCCAGACTAAGCACCACGGAAGGGCAGATCATGGCCCCTCCCCTCCTTCAGAACCGGATCTGGGGCGACACGGGCTGCATTTAGATAAGAGAGGAACAGAAAGCCTCAAAATCTACCCAAGATGTTGCTGAGAATGTTTTTTTTTTTTTTAATGACCTGAAATCAGATCACTTCTCTCCATCTCCACTGGGCCAAGAGGACATCTGCTTCTGTCCTGGACCCTCCTGACGGGTCTCCCTGCTTCTGCTGGTGTCCCCCAGCCTGTTCTCCATCCAACAGCCAGAGCGATGCTGATTAAACATCTCCCCAGAGCACACGCCAAAACCCCTCACACGGCCCGTGGGCCCTCCGTCACCTCTCTGCTCCCGTCCCAAGGCCTTCGTGTCTTCTCTCTCGGATGCCCGCGTGGCTCCCCGGTGCAGATGCTGAAGTCACCCACACAAGTGTTCCTGCCTATGGGGCCCTGGCCCAGCCCCTGCAAGCGGAAGTTGGTGGATGAACATCTGGTCTCCTCATCCCTTGGTGGGACGACTCCACCACCTCCCAGAGGACCCCAGTGGGGCTGGGCCCCCACTGGCCACAGGGCCCAGCTGCTCTCCCGTGCTCCCTAGGGTCGCCTCCCAAGGAGACTACTTGCGTTCAGGGCCTTGTCTCAGCTCTGCTGGGGAAGCCCAGCCTAAGACACCCCATCTTTCCTTTCCTTTTTTCCTTTTTATTTACAATAACTCCCCATTCCTCCTCCCCCCAGCCCCTGGCAACCACCGTTCTGCTTTCTGTCTCTATGGATTTAACTACTCTTAGGTACTTCATTTAAGTGGAATCACAGAGAATATTTGTCCTCCTATGACTGGCTTATTTCACTCAGCATGATGCCCTCAAAGTTCACCCACGTCGTAGCATGTGTCAGAATTTTCTTCCTCTTTAAAGCTGAGTAATATTCCATGGTATGTACGTTGCACATTTGATTGACCCATTCGTCTATTGATGGGCACCGGGGCTGTTTCTGCTTTTTGGCTTTTGTGAATAGTGCTGCTGTGAACACGGGTCGCAAATATCTCTTCCGGCCTCTGCCTTCTATTCTTTTGGGTATGCACTTAGAATTGCTGGATCATATGGTTATTACTTTGATAGTTTTTCGAGGACCCTCCATACTGTTCTCCACAGCAGCTGCGCCATTACACGGCAGGGCTCAAGGGATCCAGTTGCTCTACATTCTTGTCAACACTTGTTACTTTCCGTTTTGGGGATAAGAGTGGTGTCTCCTCACAGTTTCGATTTGCATTTTCCTAATGATCCGTGGTGTTGAGCATCATTTCACGTGCTTGTTGGCCATTTGCTTATCTCTTTTGGAGAAATGTCTCTTCAAGTCCTTTGCCCCTTTTCCAATCAGGTTGTTCATTTCGTGGTTGAGTTATAGGAATTTTTTATATATTCCGGATACTATTGCCTGTACTTTAAATCTTTACCCAAGTATTACTTTCTCAGAGAGTGTCATTATTTAACATATCAACATCTCCCAACTCTCTCTCTCTCTCTCTCTCACACACACACACACACACACACACACACACACACACACTGCACAGCCCCTTCCCTGCTCTAGGTTCCTCAGCCTTTATCACTAGCTGACACACTTAATGCTTTGGTGATTTGTCGGGTTCATGCGAGCTCCCGAGAGCAGAGGTTTTGACCTCTTTCTCCACTGCAGTGTTCCCAGAGCCTGACACACAGTAGGTGCTCAATAAACACTGAAAGAATAGAGCAGAGCCTGACACACAGTAGGTGCTCAAAAAACACTGAAAGAATAGAAGGAAGATGCAACAGACTTCTGCATGCACGCTCGCCCTCCCCACAGGTACTCACACACACTGCTGACACTCCCCACACACCCCAACACCCTCAGGCAGCCTGATCCACGCACGCCTTAGAACCCTCTCTCAGACTCCCACATACCACACGAGCAGACACACCCGCGTCCACACAAGGCCATGGGAATGCACCCCAATGGGGCTGCCCTGACCTCTGGGGACCTCAGCCTGCGCTGCTTCCTGCCCTGCACGGCCCGCTCCTCACTCTGAGCCCTTGATCTCCCCTGCACTCCCTATTTCTAGGGCCCCAGGCCATCCGCAAGGCACTGCTCTTCCTCCCCTTCAAACCCACACGTATCACCTCCTCCAGGAAGCCTTCCCGCACTCTCCCCTCTGGGCTCTAATGGGAGGGCGGGGAGGGGCCCTGGCCCTGGAGCAGGGTATGGGCGGTGGGGCTGACATTTGCAGAGATGTGTGCATCTTCTGTCACTGCATGCTTGGGAACTGCACACTTGCCTTCCACTGAGAAGCCCGGGGCTGAGGAAGCAGCTGGTAGACCCCGATGCTGCCCCAGTAAGGCCTTATCCTCAGGCCTAGAGCCACACCTCAGGCAGACTACCTCAGTTTCTCCATCTGAGTCAGGCAGGGGTCTACGGCCTCTTCAGCTCTGACAGCCTGGGGACAAAGCTAGCTCCTGCCTTACCACCCATTCCCAGTATGATTCAAGCGAGGCCATTCTCTGCTCTGGGTCTCAGTTTCCCGAGCCGTGACACGGGTGGCTCTGGGCCAATGTTCCGTGGCTCCCTGACTTCTGGCCATGAATGAGACAGCTCAGACAGTGTTCTCAGTCTCTCAGAGGCACCTCTGAGGGAGAGGCCACAGCACAGCTGCTGTCTCCAGAAGGGACAGGGAAGGGCAGGGCATGGGAGGGCACCCAGGCCTCTTCTAGCTCAGCCCTGCTCCCACCTCAGGGTCCTGGGGGACAGGCTCACAGGGACGGCACACCAGACGGCACGGTTTTGATCAGAGCTGTGATGGGGCAGTTTCGAGGGGGTAAGAAGCATTTCAAAGTGACTATGTTTTGTCCAGGGCTTACCACGTGTGGCCCGTAGTGTTTGCAGAAGCCAACCAAAGGGCCACACAGAGAAAAGAAGGAATGAAGGAGGGAGGGAAGGAGGAGGGGAGAGAAGGAAGAGAGGGAGGAATGAAGGCATTTATTCATGGGGCCCAAGGGGTGGGGACAGAGGTGCAGTCACAGGTTCAGTGCGGCCTGATAGGGGCGGCAGATGACAGCCCCACGGAGCGACCCGCAGGGCTGTACGGGGAGAGCTGATGCAGGGGTCTCGATGCATATTCCCCTCTTTCCCACAACTCCAGGCCACCGGTGTCAACATCACGCGTGGGAGATGATCTACCCCAGCATGGCCGCCCCGGGCTCCCTGAGGGCAAAGGGGTCACAGGTTATAGTGGAGGGGGTCGAGCAAGGCAGCAGGATGTCAACAGAGAACTAGAGCTGGTGAAGATGAGAAGGCGCAGTAGGGCTTTGGGTGACAAAGGCAGGAGAGGGACAGCGAGGTGGCAAAGGCGGCAGCAGGTTTGGGGGGCAGGGGGGGCCCTCACCTGGGGCAAACGGTTCAGCTGGCCATGATGTGCTTCACGAACGCTGGAAAGAAGAGGAGAGTCGGTGGCCTGGGTTCAGACCCAGGCGGCCCCGGGGGGAGCCTGGCGTCCCCGCGCCCCAAGGCCCCGCCCCGCTGGGCCCACCTTCGTAGTTGATGCAGCCGTTGGAGTCTTCTTGGCCGGCCATCAGTTTCTCCACCTCATCTTCCGTCAGCCTCTCACCTGGCAGGAGGTGGGAGGCTGAGTCAGCACCACCCAGTAGCTCGAAGGGCAGGAGGTCCCACTGAGCCCTTCCGGGTGGTGGGTCTGCCTCTCCAACGTTCCCGCACTTCACGTTGGCACAACTGTCATTGGTCGCAAGGCCCTGGCCAAGACCCCCATATCTGAGACCAGGAGAATCAGCAACAAGTCAAAAAGGGCAGGGCGTGGGGTACAGCTCTGTTGTCCCCTCCGAACCTGGGCTCTGTCTATAACAGTGCCATCTTGGTATTCAAGTCACCAGTGCACACTGTCCTCGGTCCTCCATAGGCCGGCAGGGGGAGGAGAGCTGAGCACCGTGAGAGATGACAGTGCAGGTGACACCCCCGCTGTTCCCCAGGTGAGCCAGGCACTTTCCTGCCTCTGTGCTTTTGCGTGTGCTGTGTTGCACTTCCCCCAGCAACACCCAGACACACATGCACACACACGCACGTGCACACACGCGCACACACACGCATGTGCACACACATGCACACACACAAGTGCACACACGCACGCGTGCGCGCGCGCACACGCACACGTGCGCACACATGCACACACATGCACACACGCATGTGCAACCCTAGAGGCCAGCACAGGTCTGAGCACACAGTTGATACTCAAGAAACAATGGCTATGGCACAAAGTCCTTTGGAGAAGAGGGTGCCCTGCCAGCCTGGTGAGGGTCAGGATGCCCAAGAGGCAGGCATGTGACATACTCGGCCACTCGGACAACGTGGCCTTGGATCTTGAGCTCAAGGCGCTAAACACCAGGACTGAGCTGATCCTCCTGGATGCACAGCTTTGCCCGCCCTGCCCCCACCGCTGTTCTGTAAACCCCGGGTCCTGTGAGCGGCACCAACACGCTCCCTTCATCCCCACCTGAACTCCTAGGTCCCCCACACGTCTGTCGCCTGCCGTAGAGGTGCCCTGACTGGGCCACTCTCCATTCCAGATGAGACACAGGCCCGGGGGGAGACAGGATGCCCGGGCAGGGGGAGTGGGGGAGGAGGGAGGCTGCCCTCACCCAGCGTGGCCAGCACGTGGCGCAGCTCGGCACCCATGACCGTGCCGTTGCCCTCCTTGTCAAAGACCCGCAGGCCCTCCACAAAGTCCTCGTAGGTGCCCGTGTCCTTGTTCTTGGCAATGTGCTGGAGCATGGGCAGGAACGTGTCGAAGTCCATCATCTTGGTGTTGAGCTCTGCGGAGAGAAGGTCCCCCATCCCCGGCTCTGAGGGGCAGGACGGACGCGCCCTTCCCCTGGCCTTCTAATGAGGAGCTCTTGCCCTCCCACAGCTCCCAAAGCACTCGGCACCGGTTTGTCACTTCCAAAGCACACCACAGGCGCTTCCCGGTCAGCCGAGAGATGCATTCTTTACGGAGGTCTGCGGTCCACAAGCAGGGTTGGCTGCAGTGGCGCCTCGCTGGGCTCCGGCTGGCACCTCTGCTCTCCTTTTGGGAAACAGCTTTGCTAGTGTCATTTTCCAGTAGACCCCTCCCCGCTCCTCGCCCCCTGTGATTGATCAGGAACAGCTGAGCCGATAGAGGCCTTCCTGGGACTTTTGAACCTGTGGGGAGGGCTTGGGACTCACTCCTCCTTGGAACAAAGCAGGCAAACCTCTCTGGCCAATGCGATGAAGGACGCTGTCCCTGACCCACAGAGGAACACCGAGAAGGCCCAGAGGGGTGGGGAGAGCCCAGCCCGCCCTCGCGCCGGCCCCGGGCCCAGAGGGTACAGCGGAACTATCACCGCTCCTCACCTTGTGGGTATCACCTGAGACCCTTCCCAGTGTCCCCGCCCAGACGAATGGAGGCTGTGAGGGCAGCACACAGCAGGGACATCCCCGGTTGTCCCACCACAGATGGAAGCCCCCCCCCCCCCCCCACCCCGGTGTCCCCGGGGACGGGCACCGATGGAGAGAACGCAGGCCGGGTGTACCAACCTTCCTGCTTTGGCTTCCCCAGGACGCGGAGCACCTCGGCCTGCGTGGGGTTCTGGCCCAGCGCCCGCAGGACGTCCCCACACTGCCCGTACGTGATCTTCATCTCACACTTGGGCGTGCGGTCGTACAGCATGAAGGCTTCCTTGAACTCTGCGGGGAGAGGGCGTGAGCTGTGGGCTCCCCGCTCGCCCACACGGGAA